TGCACGCCCTAACTCCCATTTCGTATTTTCGTGCATATGCGCATATGCACGCCAATCTTTCTGAGGTAACGAAAACATCCTAGGTGTTTTGCATGCATTTATGATGCTAGTGGCCTGATTGATATACAGAACACAGGGCACCGCGGTAGGCGCTAAGGAAGAAGTATACTCGCTTTGGACTTTCCAGTACTTTGCAAGTATATAAAACTAAATCCACTCAACAATTCATTCAAAAACAAAGCAAAGTCATTCAGAAATGAAACAACGAGTATGGAATTTCTGGAAACAATCAAGACAAAATGGTTTTTCGCAGCGATTGCATCTCGTTTTCACTTGCTTGGCTTGCTTTCGAGCGGTATCTGATCCAAAACGGTTTGAAAGTGTCTGGTAGCAGCTGTTACATCGACGCTTTGGTTTGAGTCCTGTTTTTTCGAGCTCGATCAAAATGCTTCGATCTGACTGATGTAGAAGGATCGGAAGCGGGTTTCAGAATGCTAGACACGATTTGTCGTCGGAAATTGATGATTTTGATAGATTTTCCTGTGTGCATTTTGTAGAGATTCCAGGCGTTAACAACTGCGATTTGGCATACAGCGTGAAAGAAGATTCTAAGGTACCATCTATTAGTCTTTCTAACGAAAGGCCCATAAGCAGCCATTTGATCCGATATATCAATGAAGGTTTTGCCGGCGTTGTAGTCAGAAATGACTCTTGGCTTTCCATCCGAAAAGTCCGCTTTGTGCATGGTGGATAACATGAGGACGTCCCTTTTGTCTCTCCATTTGAGCACTAGGATCCCGTCGCTCCTTTGTTGCGCAACCACTTGTCCTTTCTTCAGCTTTCGACTTATCACTTCTCTTGGCAAGCCACGACGATTTTTCCTGAGCGTTCCCACTAAATGTGTTTGATGACTGAGCAGTGTTTTCGCCAGCGGAATGCTTGTGTAGAAATTGTCCGTGTAGAGGATCCGACCGCAATCGAGAAGGTTTCCCATCAAGTCAATCACGACACTTTCAGCCACTGGATTTTTTCTTAGGTGGTCCGGTCTTCCACAGTAGACGGTTAAGTTGTATGTGTATCCGCCGCTGGAACAAATTTTGAAAAGCTTCAGCCCATATTTGTGTCTTTTGTTTGGTATGTATTGCCGAAATGAAATCCTCCCGCGAAACGGAATTAAACTTTCATCTATGCAGACAGAC